ATTATTATTTTGTCATGTCTTACACTGTCCGATGTCTCCCTTGATTCATCATTAAGCTTTAATGTTGCACAGTATTCCAGCGTATGTAGATGGACCAGAGGTTACGCATTCTTCCACTGATGGGCATTTAGGCTGCTTCTATCTTTTTGCTATTGTGAACAGTACTGCGATAAACACGGGTGCACTTATCGCTGTTTTTGTTAAGATTCTTGCTTCTTTTGGATATATGCCAAGGAGAGGGATTGCTGGGTCCTGTGGTATTTCCAGTCTCGGTTTTTTGAGGGAGCACCAGGGCTCTCCACAGTGGCTGTACGGTTTCAGAGCCCACCAGCAGCGTCTGAGGGCTCCGGTCCCCTCGCACCCTCTTCAGCATTTGTAGTTTTCTGTTCTGGGGCTGAGCTGGTAGCTCATCCTAATTTTGATCTGGACCCTCCAGGACTCAGCTGGCTTTTGAAAGGCTCCTATCCAGGCAGCTGATTTCCCGGAAGGAAGCTGAGTTTTTCCTTCCTAGGAGAAACTGCTGAACTTTTCTAAATTTCCATTTGGGGAATAAAGAATTTTTTTCTTTTCTTTTTTGCGTGATATACATGATGAAGAGAAACTGCAGGCAAGCTGTGAGCATCAGCCACTGTAGCAGATGCTGCCACAGCCCTGCCTGAAATTCTTGTATGGCTCTACCGTTCCCAGGCTTGGGGCTCCAGGTTGATATTTGTGCCTCTTTGCTGGAGGCTGGTGCTCAGGCTACTGGAAACCATAGGGCTTGGGAATTTATCCCTCCCAGAAGCAGCTTCTCACCAATGACTGACAGGGGGTTTGGGGTAAAGAGTCCAGCTCCCTCAGCTCTACTGAGGAAAGCTCTGAGGTACTTTACACTCTCTCCAGAGAGCTCTTATGTGACAGCGTCACAGTTTGCGCCTATCTTAACAAAGCTGTGGGAGTGCTCACCACACTATGGGTTCATAGCCCACTGTGTATTGATTCCCATCACACCAGCCTCCCTTTCTTTCTCTGACCACCTCCCCACTCCCTGTTGGTTTTTCTTTGGGAAACGTGCTGATAAGCCACAGGTCATCGACTCCTCTCCTCAGCGTCCGGTTCTAGAGACTCCAACCTGAGACGGCAACTCCAAGAGCACACCCTGCAGGACCCTGACCAAGACCCTGACACTGACCTTCATCCTTCATGCAAAGGGCATGGTGTGGCTGGCCGGGAGCTGGGTTGCGCTCAATCCTCACGTCGACAGCTCTCACGCTTGGCGGCTCACCACGCCCCTTGGTGCACACGATGGTCCTGAAACAGACAAGGATGACACGGTTAGATTTGAGGGGGGGGCGGGGGAAGGTGGGGAGAGTACAATTCCTTTCTGCTGTAAGTTCTGTACCGACAGAAAATCTTCTTACTCTTGAGCTTCGGCTGAAGGAAAACACTGTCCTCAAAAATAAAGACATTCAGAAAGGCGTAGGTCACATCTGTCCATTCACGTTTCAGAGGCAGTGAATGTGAGCACCAGTCAGAGCACAGAGAAGAAAGCCAAAACCACCACCAGAACAAGGGTCCCCCTGGGACAAGGTGTCTGGGTGGGACCTCTGCCTTCACGGTTTATTGAAGTGAAAACGATTTTCATTCTCAACCAGAATGTGTCTCCGCATCAGATTTAGAATTCACTTATCATGAACCACTTGGGAAAGAAGTATTAGAGGAGACTGAAATGCATAGTTATTTCAATTCATGTGTGAGAGGAATTAGGTGGGAATAGAGAGGCGAGGGCAAGACCACCTAAAGGGTGTAGACTCAGGAGACCTCACCTTAAACTAGGGGACTCGTGGACAGATCAGAGACAGACAGGTCTGAATCCAGGCTGTATGATTTAACAGCTGTATGAAGTTGGGCAAGCTCCTTAATGGCACAAGGGACCATTTATTACCAATTCTTCATGTTTTCAGGCAGAGGGTAAACCTTCCCAGTCTCATGTCTTGACTCTACTTGCTCTTTACCTTGGCAAGAGAAACTGGGCATGTTCCCCATACCCCAACCAACCCCACTGTCCCTTCTGGGATCTGCCTATCACAGATATGAAGGCAGTCTCTGAAAGAGAAAGCTAGAATTGTCTGGTTTGGCCAGGACTGGAAAGTATCTGCTTCCATCCTTTCCTGATGCCTGCCTCTCATCCTTTCTCCTTCCTCCCCTCCCATGAGCCTCTCTCTCAGGTAGTGTCAAATCTGGGCAGGGGAGGAGGAGTCAGCAGCCGTAGCTGCTAGTTCCCAACATTTCATCTCAGGGTCGGTGTGAAGATGCAGTGGTGCCCCGCCTTTGCTATGATTCATTCTTCACATATTTGTTCAGTCGGTACAGAGGGCAGGAGTGATG